CAATCATAAACAACTTTTACAACACAGACATAGGAAGATCATTCAGGTAACAATCATAAACAACTTTTACAACACAGACATAGGAAGATCATTCAGGTAACAATTATAAACAACTTTTACAGCACAGACATAGGAAGATCATTCAGGTAACCATCATTAACAACTTTTACAACATAGACATAAGAAGGTTATTCTTCAGGTAATCATCATGATGTGCTGTCCAAACTAGCATAATAAAATTCTAAGCAGGTTCTCACATAGTTTATTGCATATTTAAGTTGTCTTTTAATTCAGTTTTATTTCAAAGTGATGAAATCAATCACTCTGAGAAATTTAGCTACAAACGTTTGGGCTGCCTTACATTCATATGCACTCTAAGCCATACTACATGTTTTCTACCCCCTTATTTAATTTTTTTTTCAAAATTTATCTACATATTATGTATGTAGTCTTAAAGTAGAATGTCAAGTTCCTCTCACCCTAGTTACCTTGGTCACTCAACCAGGTATGTACTAAAGAAAGCATGCTGTACAATAAGAACTGATATTTTCTACTAGCAAGTTAGATGATGCCTCAAAGATTCAACATCCCTTATTTTCAAGTGAGAGTGACCATCAGTTACATAGGTATTGCCTGTACCTAAAGAAGGATGGCATTGTTGTTTTTAGTCATATAATGCTATGTTTTCTCAGTTACAATTAGATTGCTACAGACAGATTTGATTTCAAGCTCTCCAGTAAAGGTGCCGGAATGATACAATTGTCTTTACCTTTATTTTTGAGTGTTTGAGATAATCATTGTTTCGCTGTGCACAACATGTGTCCAAACTCTTTCTTTTTTTATGACAAAGTTTGGGAATTAAGATTTTCGCTCCACGAAGTATTACCTTATGAGCTTTCTGTTATTCTGAAACTCCAACACAATTACTGTAAGGGAGATTGATGAACCGAGAGTACCACAAACTTATTGCTTTATTTCATCATTTCCACTAAATAAGTAGTTGATCATTATAACATAATTACAATTAGTATCAAAAAAATGCCATGGACACCTTAATATTATGTGAAGGAGCAGCACATTTCATGATAGCTATAATTTAACAGGAAAAATTGTGTGTATATATGATAGAAATTACTATTGATGATATATTTGGTCTGAAGTTCATATGATAAGAGAAAGTTTCAGGGATAATATGTTCAATGTTACCAACCACATTCCTGTAAATGAATTGACCATCAATTTCATCATTTATATTTCAGAATATGTACAGTTATTTCTAATTCAAATTAGAATATTGTATTGCACTTCAACAAACTGGCCCCAGAAATTCCATAATAAATTAGATGTACAATAGTTAATGCCTTTGTTGTTAACTTACATTATATATATTTAGTATCATTAATATTAGTTTGTAAATCATAATGTGATAAAAGACATCAAGCAATTGAGGTCATCATATCTGATAGTGAACTGTCAATCTCAGTGTGTTATTTTGAGGTTATGTGGATTTATTAAAACACAGGTCATTTGTGCTTATAATACTTTATTTGCAGTTCTTTCACAGCACAATTGAAGCTTAATTCCATATGTCAGATGATAAACACCAATTTTACCACATTTAAAATTCACTTCGTTTTTGTTGAGGATTAGTATTTTATCACAGTTAACAACTTGGAAAGGATATATAAGGAACACAATATCATTCTTGGGTATGAAGATGAAAGATATAATATACCTGTACAATAGCATATGAAAATTTAAAATGTTAACAACTTGGAAAGGATATATAAGGAACACACTATCATTCTTGAGTATGAAGATGAAAAATATAATATACCTGTACAATAGCATATGAAAAGTTAAAATGTTAAGCACATTCTATGTTCCTGAAATAACTGCATTTATCTTTTGTCAAGAGGCAAACTAGAAGATCTTAAATGAATGTTCTATTTCTTAAAGCTGTATGTACCACACATGAACAATACTAGTAACTTTATCATTAAACACCGTCAAGAATTGGGTTCTACGGTTGTTGTCTTTGAACGAACTTTGGACAGTACTTGGTGTAATCCAAATTCACTAGCTTCCGAGGTCTTGTTGCTACTTTCTTCTTGCTAAAAATACAAATTATCCAGAGTTAAGCAAGATGAAGAAGAACCTTGAAATAAGACCGCATTAGTTCCTTTTTCCCTACTTTAGAAAATAAATTTATCAAAGGTGTCTCTGAGCAACTAGATCATGTAAAACTAAATTTCTTATTTATTTTAAGTGTTACCCTGAAGTAGTCTGTTTAAAAATACAATGGAAATTTAATGTTTTCATTGTGATGACCTGTAGGTCACTTTCCACAGTTGTCTTCAGGATTTTTTATTATGGCCAAATATAGTTCAACATTGATAAAAATGCAGATGGAGCTTGTGAGGTATTTCAAACATAACATTATTAAAAAAACAGTTTAAGAAGTATGTGAAACAAGTAACTATAAACTTGGAATAGTAAATTGATGAGATAAACTGTCCAACTTCTCTACAGTAATGTGTCTCACAAAGACAGGAGTTAAATCTGTAAGTAATCGTTATTTGACAACACATCCTTCAATCATTCCCATTCTTGCTGTCAAGATTCAAATTTTGCAGAGAAAAATGGGTTAAAATTATTTCCATTGGCCAAATATATAAACAGAATGATGGATTAGCTATGCCCCCCCCTCTCCTTTGTTTACAGAAGTTTTCATGGATAATTTAATGATGAAAATAATACAAATATTGGTACAGATATGTTGATGATGTGATTTATCTTTGGACAGGTTTCAAATTTCAACTTGATAAAAAATTTAATAAATTTACTATGGAACTTGGTGAAAACAGAAACATTAATTTTTTGGACTTAAATATTAACATAAATAATGGCATACACTCCTTCATAAGTTTCAGAAAACTCGACTTATAGTGACACTATCATACATGCTTCTTTAAGACATCCAATATCTCAGAAACTTGTTGTGTTCCATAGTTTGTTACACAGACTTATCACTGTCACATGACACTGAATTAAAAATAATAAACTGCTGTCAACAATGGTTATACAACAAATTTAACTGACACATTGTTTTTAAAAAATTAAAAGCCATGAACTTAAAATCAATATACCCACATACTGCACCAAACAACAACAAAAAATGACTTAAGATGAGCTACATTGGAAAACCTTCTCACAAAGTACATAATGCACAGAACCAATCAATCTACAGACTGGCCTTCTACTGTACAAATAATGTGGCAAAATGTTGTACAACAACAAAGACAAAACGAAAAGTACAGCAATAGTGTATACATAGGTCAAACCAGATGTTCCATAGAAACAAGATTTAAAGAACATTCTAAAAGCTGGAAATTAAGTAAAATGTATTCAACCTTTGCATCCCACCTTATTGAAACAAAACATCAATTTGATCTGTGAAAAAGGTAAAATACTAGATAGCCTGGAAATTTTAGAAATAAATAGAAGTCTAAAATCAAATCCAGAAAAAGTTCTAAATGACCAAACGAACTAAGTTCCTCCTCACTTGTTTTGAGGTGAATGCCAAGGTTACATCCAGTTCTTTAGTTAAACATATATAAGCCTGCTTACAAACCATTTCAGTCTGTACTCGATGATGCTTTACTAGCGAAACCATGATCTTTAATAAATGAAGTATTTGTGAAACATGCAATTGTCTTTGGTTTTTTCCTCAGTTTTATAAATCAATACTCATCCAGTAAAACACTTTAAATAGTCAACTTTAAACAGACCTTTTCTTCTGTGTTTTTAGGGTTGGCCAGAATTAAATCTGATATTCTAAGGTGGCAACATTTGCATGTTTTTAAATTCAGTAATTTTAAATGATTAAACTGAGAATCTGAAGAGACTTTCAGACCAGGGCTAGGGATAAATCCTTGGTATAAGTACTTGTCAGAAAATATAATTGTTTAGTTTTGAAAGATGAATTAAAGGCAACAAACACAATTTGGATGTACAAGTTAAATAAAAAAAAGTAAGCTAGACTAAATATAGTTTCTGTAACTTTCACTGTGGTTATTTCCTGTCTAAAAGATGAATGAAGAATACATGAAAAGTAGAGTGAAAGTGTTATTATATAAAAATAACATCTTGAAGCTCAAATAGAGTTTGTGTAAAATGATTACACTGAGTGTTGTGAAGTCACTTACACATGGGCATTCAGTCCTTAATACAATACATAACTAATTCACCAGTAATAAGGTCAAGTTAAACATTAGATATTCCTTGAAAGTTTAACTCCAAGATAACATTTAGAAATTACATGTTTTACTAAACTTCTCTTAACTTATCTGTCTCTCAAGGTGATTTTAATAAACAGTAACTCATAGATAGGGAAGAGTTAGAACTGGACCAATCAGGACCTCTGATGTAATTTGAAAAACAATGAGAAAGCCTTGTAACAATGAATAACTTCTAGGTTCTAGAATGTTCCTTTAAATCTGTTCTCTTCATGGGTTGATGGGAATATTCTTTTACATATTTTAATGTATGAAAAACAACGAGAAAGCCTTGTAACAATGAATAACTTCTAGGTTCTAGAATGTTCCTTTAAATCTGTTCTCTTCATGGGTTGATGGGAATATTTTAATGTACTTTTCTTACCATGTTAACTACATACTATTTTTGATGAATTCATGATGTCAGAAAAACACATAGGTTCAAGAAGTCTTAATATAAAATGATAAAAACCCTGTAACCTAAGCACTTTTTTTTTCAGGGGTAAACATCATTCCCAGTTTGCCCCTGAAGAAGAAAGATCCACCTTTCAAAAGCACTTGGGTTACAGGATTTTTATCATTTTATTTTTGATAAAGTTAACAATAAATCTGTAAATATAATAGTGGTATTCATCCATATCTGTAGCACACATCATATTCTTTCATCTTCCTTCTTTAACTTTTTGTCTGTGTTTCACATATTGGTCCTCATTAATTTTCTTCTTTTGTGGAACTACTACTTCTATTGTAAAATCAGTCCATTGGCTATCATTACACCACAACTTTCATGGAACTACTACTTCTATTGTAAAATCAGTCCATTGGCTATCATCACACCACAACTTTCATGGAATTACTACTTCTATTGTAAAATCAGTCCATGGGCTATCATTACACCACAACTTTCATGGAACTACTACTTCTATTGTAAAATCAGTCCATTGGCTATCATTACACCACAACTTTCACGGAACTACTACTTCTATTGTAAAATCAGTCCATTGGCTATCATTACACCACAACTTTCATGGAACTACTACTTCTATTGTAAAATCAGTCCATTGGCTATCATTACACCACAACTTTCATGGAATTACTACTTCTATTGTAAAATCAGTCCGTAGGCTATCATTACACCACAACTTTCATGGAACTACTACTTC